GGTGAGGCCACGTAACTCCCTGCCTCTTCCCACTGGCCAAGTGGCAGCTATGTTGGGCCCGTGGCCTTTGCTCCACAGAAGCCCACAGGGACCCTCTCAGCCGTGGGACACAGTTGGAATTTCAGTATTGCCTTCCCGAGCACTTGTAGTGTGGCCAAACGGATAGGTTCTGAGCATCCTGTGGGCCAACCTGGGACAGTGGCCGCTGTCACAGGCAGACAGCTGCCTGTACCTGAACTCTTCCTCACCTGGAGTCACGAAGAACACGTGAGATTGCACAGAGGAAGCACCAGGCCCACGTACCAGCTCTGCATTATTGCTACTCAGCTCTGTGGACTCTCAAACTCCGCCCCACCGAGCACCTGAAGGGCCACATGCAGGAGGCGCCAACCTCAGAGACCACGTGCTGTGCTGCGAACCTCAAGCTCCTCTTCCCCTGATCACAGTGGCCCCCCAAAGTCCAGGGACAGGCGGGGCACTGGGGACACACTCGCTCCTGAGTAGCATTCGCTCTAAAGCTCTATAGGTCCTACAGTCCTGGGAACTCCTACACTGAGGACTGGCATGAAGGTGCTCAATGCCTTGCACAGTTGATTAGCAATGAGTGGCCATAGGGCCTGCAGGGGACCCCACTGACAAATGCTAACCCTGTGGATTGGGGTACAGCCGTTTGCTGTACTCTGTGTACAAGTACACTGTGCTTTTACAAGCTCTGTAAAACACTCTGGTGTCCATCCCCTCATTGAGAAGCACTGAACCAAAGAAATGAGATTGTGCACATTTCCAGCGCAGGATAACTGGAAGAGAACGCACAGAGAACAGAGGCCATGGGGCAGTGGGAAGAGGAGCTAGAGACCTCTGCACCGGAGCCATGTCCATTGGGAGGGGGCTGTACCTCCGCTGACCCTCCCAGCCGGAGTCCCTCTTGTTCCTGCACCACTGGTTCCCAATACTGGGGACTTCAGAGATGAGGTCAGCCCAGCACTGTGTGTCCCACCGCCACCCCCTTCATGCCAGCTTGAGCTTTCAGCTACTACCTGACTGCTCAGGCTTCCTCCCTTGTGTGGCGTTCAGACCTATGGCTGCTGGAATGAAGCCAAATCCTTTCTTCTTGCCTTTCTGTCACTTGGGAGCCTTCTGTCCCACAGAAAAGCAGTGTGACCTCACAGGCCACTTGGGCCTTTGTCCTCCAGGGCTGGATTTCTGGCCAAAATTCTGCCTGTGAGGAGGGCTCCCTGGGCCTCCTGTTGGTGCCTGGAGGGTCTGTCGCTGGCCAGGGCCAGGGGGGACAGAGAACTTCGAAGCCCACCTGCCTGTTTATCCCTTCCTCCCTCCCTCTTCTTGCTCAGTCACTCTGGTTTGCTGCCCTCTGAGTCCCCAGCCCTGTCCCTCTGCAGAGGGAAACCAGGTCTCAGCAGCAGCCCAGGGTGACCCTTGGTCATTACAATGCACCTCACTGAGCAAGCACCACCTTTGGCCACGGGCCCATGGGGTTGCCATGACAGCATGGGTAACATGGTCCTGGGGGTATGTGGTAGCCTCATTCTGGCAGCCCGGGGTCCCAGCCCCAGCCTCTTTCCTGGATCCTCTCAATAGGCTCACAGCACCCCGGCGCCAGCCCATGGTGCCTATTCTTCATTTAAGAGTAACTTTTTCTTGGTCAGCAAAAAGCTGCTTGACTCAGCCACAAAGGAGTCAGTCAAGCCGATCCTGTCCCCTGGGAGAGGCTCCTTTGCAGCCTCCCCTGCTCTCGAGGTTGGGGTGCTCAGCAGGGCCTGCCAGGGCCTCTGAGCTGTGGCCTCGGTCTCCTCGGCTCCCTGTACCACCCCAGGCACACTGTGTTGCTCACAGTCACTAACAGACAGCAAGCAGCTCCTGCTGCGGGCCCTCTGCGCTTCCACTGTCCACTCTGTGGACTTCCACTGGTCACAGGGCACCCAGCGTGGCAGCACCGCACCCTACCTCTGCATTTGTGCCCGGCTTCATCTTTCCTCACAGCACTTTCTACTCTTCATTTTTTGTTCGTTTGGGGTCTGTCTGCCACCTGTGACTCCTCCAGAGGCAGGGCACACATGTTGTCTGTGCCGTGCGATAGACACTGAAGTGAGGGATATGAGGCCTGGCTCCAGGCCCGGCCCTGCGGGCTGTCGCTGTACGCACTGCTCGAGCCTCCCGTCACTGTGAGCCTCACTGTGCCTTATGCAAAGCCGAAGGACAAGGCCAGCTGGGGACTGGGGAGGAGGACACGACCATGCACCGCGCCCGAGACCTGGCCACACACACAGCTGCTGGTGTTGCCTGCCCCTGCTTGTGACTGTTGCCATCAGAATGGTCCCCTGGCCTCAAGTGCCCAAGTGCCCACACACTTCTGGGGTCCCTGCTGCCTGTCATCTTCCAGGAACCCTGCAGTGGCCCATGGAAATGACTCCAGCTGGGGGCAAGGCAGGGACTTGTCCCGCACCACAAATGTGATGACATGCACAGCTGTCACACGGAAGCCCGCCCCTCCCGCCTGCCCCTGCGGGTGTGCAGAGCTGCCCCCCAGCAGTCGCCCAGAGCAGTCACTCAGATGCTCCCCGAATTTCTCAGGGGTGCCCTGGCGTGGGCTCCAGAAATATGAAAAGATTCAGAGCTCCACTGGGTTTTGTTTTTCTAGGCAAGCTGGAAGATGGATGGGCCCGTTTCTGAAACTTTGAGGAAAGGAAATATTCTGTCCATTTAAAGCCCAACGCTATTAGTCTGGTGCCGAGATACTGCCTTAAGCATCGTGCATAGCTTTTTTCAGAGAACAGCGACCACAGATCTGCGTGGCATTGAGTGTACCGCACAGAGTGTCTGAGCAAAGCCCCAAGGGCCTAGGGAGAGAGAGACCCTGTCCCCGCCCTCAAGGCAAGGTTTCCTGTGCCTTGACTGGGGGACTGCGGCTGGCGTGCACAGGCTGTCCACCTCGCCTCACGGCACCAGTGAGGTCACCAGCTGAAAAGTCCACGGCGCTGCACGCCTTCCATGGCTGCTCAGCTCACACTCGCCACTCGCCACAAGGAAGGCAAGGTTGCTGGTCCAGGGACAAGACAGACAGAGTCCTGGCCCAACCCTGCGCTCGTAGCAGGCTGCAGACCAGTAATGTGAAGAAGCATCACCTCTGGGGCCATGACTGCCCCACTGGCATAGGACACATCTGGACAGCTAACCATCAAAAAGCAGGAAAGTTTTTAAACTGATCGCCGCTTAATAGGGACCAAGCATGACAGAGCTGCCAACAACACAGGCACTGAGCTCTTCTGGCCCAGAAAAAACGAGAGGCTCAAGGCTCAGCTCTGCCCCTTGCTAGGGCTGTGACCAAGGGTCATTTACGGCTTTCTCTAGGCTACAAATCTAACTGCAAGGAAATGTCAGTACTTCCTTCTCTGCCAGGTTATTTTCAGGATAGCAAGAAGATAAGGGGGCCTAGCCCAGGCCTTGTTTGTAGACGGTACTTAGTAAATGACCAGGGCTTGTCATTCACTTGCTATAGAAATACAGAGCTTAAATGTTTAAAAGCTAAGAGGAGCCCTTCCCCACTCAGCTCCTCTCAGAACTACATGGAATATGAGGTCCAGCTCCAGGCTTCTGAGGTTGACCACGAAAGCAACCAGGTCACGCGACCTCAGACGAGGAGTTGGGCTGGGCTGCTCTGGGAGTGGAGCTCCGCGGTGACCTGTGCGTTGTCATAGCTACATCTTGGAAACAGCCCAAGTGCCCATCAACTGAGGAATGGATAAAAAAAAAAAAAAATTGGAGTATTTTTACACAATGGAGTACTACTCAGCTCTAAAGAAAGATAAGCTCAAGGCTTTTATAGGTAAATGGATGCAACCAGAGACCACATTCTTAAGTGAAATGAGCCCGAGATAGCAGGGGGCTGGAGAGATGGCTCAGTGGTCTAAAGCACCTACATAGAACAAGCTCAGCAAAGCACAGGGACCGTGGTTCAATCCCCCAGCACCACATGCCAGCCAGCCGCGCCCCCTGGTGGACTGAGCTGGCCTCTCTCTCTCTCTCTCTCTCTAATAAATAAATAAAATTTAAAGATAGCAGGGGCCGGGGAGATGGCTCAGTAGATAAGCACTTCCCCGGCAAGTGCCCGGTTCCACCAGAAAAAAGAAGGCTAACAATGTATAATACAATGATCATTGTTAATTTCCCATGATCTTCTTTTGAAATTGTGCATCGTTTTTATTACTTTTACTCTCTTTAAAACAAAAAAATAAAAATACCAGTAGTGGGCTCCCTGTGTTGGAAGCCCTTGTGCAGAAGGCTGATGACTCCTGCCAAGAAGACGACAGAAGGAATCTCCTAGCCCAAGCAATTCATAGTGCGACCCAACAAGCCTGGCCCCGGCTCCAGCGCCCGAAGTTAGCCGTGTGAGGTGGGCAGATCAAGCGTGGAGGAGTTACTCGGCCCTCCGGGAGCCAAAGCAGGGCGCTGTGACTTCTCAGACGCCCTCCCCAGGCTAAGGACACAGAATAGGGAGTTTGCACACGGGTGTGCGCACAGCCACAGCGGGACACCGGCACCCGCTGGCGAGCTTGCAGGGCGCCAGGGGCGGCCACCAGCGGTCACAGCTGAGTGCCCAGCCCTCCTAGGCATGTCACCAAGGCTTGACCTGCACCGGCCGCATATCCACAGGGCCTGGGCCCATCTGCCCGAGAGCCAGGGCGGGGACTGGAGGCGGGAAACTCCTGGCTTCCCAGAGTGACGTGGGTGCTCAGGAGGCGGGGAATGGGTCCGCAAGAAGCGCTTCCCTGGGGCGGGGCGGCGTCTGACCTCACCTCGGGGCCTGGGAGGAAGTGAGGGCGAGTAGTCAGGGGTGGGAGCCACACAGCCCCTTCCACGGCAGATGCTGCCATCCAGAGGCCCCGAAGGTCTCCCTCCGCCGCATCCTGGGGTGCGCTTCAACGCTGCTCCCGCTTCCCTCACCTCTTCTCTGCGCTGGGGTAACGGGACATCTCCCCCTGCAGGGATCTCCGAAAACACAGCCGCGCCCCTCAGACCAGACCGGCAGGAGGAGCAGCTCCGTCTGCAGCTGGAGGAGGAGAAGAGAAGGTGCCCACCCACCTTAGCCAACTCGCATAACCTGAGCGCTGACTCTAGGACAGCTAGAGCCCTGGGCTGGAACTGCAGGGGGGTGGAACAGCAGGAAGAGGGGGCGCTGCTTCGGAGCCCCACCTCCTGCACTGGCCTGGGGGCTGCTGCCACCAGGAGGACAACCGAGTGCGGGCCCCACAGTCACCCCTTGTCTACCGCCTGCCTAGGGCACCACAGTCCCTTAGGGGCCCAAAGCCCCTCCATACGGAGGGAGGTGCTGCAAGTAGGTAGTCTTGCGGAGTGCCCAGCACCCAGGGCAAGCGCTGTAGCTCATCTCAGCATCTGTGTGCTCAGCACATGTGCTAGCCCTGCACAGTAGAGAGGTTCGGAGGACACCACACAGGTCGCCTCCTCTGCATCCCCAACACCAGCCCTGTGCACAGCCTCAGGGGTGCAAGGTCATACTGGGCAATACAAGGGCCCCATCTGAAAACAAAACGAAGCAGCTGTCTTGTAGCCTTGGTCTCTCATCACAAAGCCTACTAGCACCACGGTGAGGCGGCTGTGACTGTAGTCCCAGAGCCGGGCCACCCAGCCTCAGATCCCAGCTGCTCTGTCCACTCTGTGCACTGGGTACGTGGCTTGGCCTTGGGGCCACTGGACAAAATTGCCTGGCTCCGTGAAGCCTGGGCCCTGGCCTGGCTTTGGCCCTCGGTACCAGGGCCACGCTGCCCCACTTCGCAGCAACAAATCCATGCATTTACAGCGCAGCCTCTGGGTATGGACCCTCAAGACTCGGTCACGACCTCTTCTCTGATCCCGCTGCAGGTACAAAACAATGTTCACACGCCTGAAAGCCCTGAAGGTGGAGATCGAGCACTTGCAGCTGCTCATGGACAAAACCAAGGTCAAGCTGCAGAAGGAGTTCGAAGCCTGGTGGGCAGCAGAGGCCACCAACCTACAGGTATGGTCTGGGGACACCAGGACAGCTGTGGAGGGGCTGTCGGGGGACAGAGGAGGAGTGGGGGCTCCAGCGCTGGGCCGGGGCTCAGGTCAGAAGAGGCAGCTCCCCAACCTAGGGCTGAGCCCAACATCGCTTTGTGCGACAGACTCCAAGGACAGCACCCTGACATTTGCTGTTTTCCTACTGCAGAGTCTCATGTATGTGCATTTAAGTGTAAGAATAGACAAGAAAAACGGAAAAGCCCTTTAAACCCTGCTGTTCACGATAGCCAGTATTAGTGTGTTGCCTGCACTGTTTTATCTTTCCTGCCTGCGTGCACCAATATGTTTCATAAAAGTAGAATCGCACTGCCCTTCAAGAGCCACAGACAGCTTATTCTGCCTTAACTGTTTGGAATGATTGTTGTTATTCTAGATCATTCCAGGCTGGTGCCACTCCATCACAGAAATCCATTTTAATGAATTTTTTTTTTTTTTTTCCGGAACCGGGGATTGAACTCAGGCCCTTGCGCTTGCCAGGGAAGCGCTTATTCCACTGAGCCATCTCCCCGGCCCCCATTTTAATGAATTTAACCAAGCCGTTCTTGAGTTCTTAGTTTTCACTCAAAGCATATCTGTACATAAATATATGCATGTTCCTAGATAGATTCCTAACAAGTTTCTTTATTATTCTGAAAGTTAAAATAATCTGCTAAGAAACAGTATAGGCTCTCAGGTTCCGCTGTCCCCAGTACCCTTCAGTTGTGGTCACAGTGACCAAGAACACATTGTCGTGTCACCTGGTGGCTGCCAGGACCCTTTGAGATCACCTGTATGACTCATCCCTTCATTTGAAGGACAAAGACAGTGAGAGCCAGAGAAGATATTTACCCAAGACACACACAACCATGCAGTCACTGCTGTCCCACCATGTGGCTGTGCGACAGGACTGCAGCAGAAATTATTTGGATCAAATTAAATGCACAAGAGAGTAAAAAATTTAAAAATGAGGCTAAAATACAGCTCTCCAAATAGCTTAAAAGCTACATTATGACACAATACTCTGCATAATACTTCACAGCTGCATTAACTAATAAAATCTAGGCATCATATTATCAATAAAATAGTTTCAATTTGGCCATAATTTCAAAGTCATAATGAACACAGCAGTTTAAGATCTCTGCCCAACGGTGACAGTGTGAGAATCTATGTGGCTTCTCCTGGGGACAAAGCCACAGGAACTGCTAACCCTACTGTGGTTGCTGGCTTCATTTATTGACTTCAAGTTGAAGTTGAGGTCGATAAAGATACAAAGGTTTCCGTCTGCCTCTGCATCTGCCGGCCCCAGGTCACCAGTGAGCATGGCCAGCAGCCGCATCTGGCCCCCAAGAGCCGCTAGGCCAACACTCCCACACAGGCGGTCACTCACTGAGACACTAGAATCACAGCCGAGGAGGTCAGCTCCAGTGTGCCCGTCCCCAGATGTCACAGAGACAGAAGGGCCAGATGGTGGAGACAGGGATGGCGAGGCGTCCTCCCGCAGAGAGCCAAGCTGGCACTGCCGCAGGGCTGCTTCTCGGCCTGTGCTGCCCATGCAGCCCGAGTAGGCTGAGGCAGCAAGGCTCTGAGCACATTGGAACAGACCGCTCTGCGGGGCCGCCTGGGAGATAACGAAGCGAGGGAAACTGCCTGCTGGCTTCCTGTGCTGCTCCCCAGCTCGGTGCTCCTGGAGGTCACCAGGCATCCTGCCGAGGCCCACGTGGCAGCCACAGAAGCGCGCCCACCCACTGCTGAAGGCTCACAGGCTTCCCGAGCCCTGTGCAAGGTGCTCACTGTCGCTGGGAGAGAATCCGTGTGCGAAGATATGTGGATTTCTAGAGGACTGTCAGATGACATCGTCTGTCTACAAAAATTAATAGCTCCTCAGTTCAGGAAACTTGGAAAGTACAGAAAAGCACAAAGAATGAATCAAACATTCCCCACAATACTACCATCCAAAGATGATAGTTTGATGCCTGACATTAGAATATAAATGTATCTGGGTTTCTTTTTTTTTTCTTTTCAAAGTTTTATTGATAAACATATAGTAATGAGACAGTTTCAAATCAAATTGAAAGTACAGTTTCAACAAATAATACACTGCATATATTCTTCTTAGTGGTTAATTGCTGTACAAGATGCAGACTTGTGATCCTATTTACAAACACCATTAGAAAAAATCATTCTATTCATTAAGAGAATGCAACTATATATCTGTCCCAACCACTTTGAATACACAGATACAAAATGGACATTCATAGTTATACCCCATTTTTTTAAGTACCGTTATTGAATATTATAGGTGTGTAACTCAGCAAAATATTCTAAAAGAGTCCAGTAGCCCATAATAGCATTGCGTCCTCTGTTTAACTGGCAATGTCAGAAATTATTGACCTGAGTCCCCCACAGCTCAACATAACAACATGGCTTTACTTCCTATATTTTGTCTTCATACTTTTCTACTGGATGGTTAAGACCAAGGTAAAGCAGGACCTGTGCAACAAAAGTTGTAGCTTTTTGTGTATCTGGGTTTCTATCTTGCCATATACACTGTGCATGCCAACTTTTATAACTGGCTTTTCCCCTTTTTTACAAATTGCATCAACAACACTTACCTGTGCCTTAGATTCAGGCTGATGCTCTTCTCCGGTCCAGCAGGCATATTCTCCAGTAGTGAACCCCCTGGGTCCAGGGAAGCCTTCTCCGCAGACTGCTGAGCCCCAGCAGGACTGGTCCCAGCTTCTGGCTAACAGAAGGTAAGGGGAGAAGGCTGGGGGCCCTGGGAGAGCTCTCTCACCACCCTACTCTCACCTCTCAGCAGCTCCACACCCTTAGTGGAGGCTCTGCTGTTGCTGACCACTTGGGCATAGATCCGCAGGCAGGTAGCACATGAGCTTGTTTGGGACACACCTTTCAGTCCCTGCTTTGACCCCCACCTTACAGCTGTGTCCTGCTGTCCCCCCAGAGCCTCTTGAGGTCAAAAGTAGGGCTTTTTCCAAAGTGGCTAGACCTTGAGCATGACCAACTCGTGCTGCAGTGCCTGAGGCTGTGGATACGCTATAGGGACAGGACAAGGCTTGCTGCTAGCTGCGCGTCTTGGTCGCTTGCTGGCTTCTGCCATCTTCTGCCCACCATGAGCTGTTGCTCCCCTGAGATGCCCCTCCTCCACGCCACCCTGCCATGCAGCCAGCCGACCATGGTCGGAAACCTCCATACACTGTGAGCTGAACAAACCTTTCCCCTTTAACTCTGGGTGACAATGAGAAAAAGTAGCTAAGACACCCACCATGGTGACAGGAGACCAGAGGCTCCATCCAGTTCCTACCCTGACCGAGCGTGATCTGCAGGGAGAGAAGGAGAGTGCACCAGGGTGAGGGAGGGAGCTGAGGGCTGCGGACAAGATGGCACCGAGAGCTGGGATGTCCACCCTGTGTGCTAGCGAGAAGACACGCAGCAACCTCCCATGATGCCACATGAAGTGGGAACAGTGCCCACAGCCCTAACCGATGAGGGGTCAGCTTCCCTTCTGAGCTCTTGTCTCTGGCTGATAGAGCCTCATGTCCCTGCTACCTCCCTCCCCTGGGCCAAGGACTGCCAGGGAGAGGCCAGGGCAGCATGGGTGCAGCGTCCATCTCTGGCTGCCACCCAGGAGCGACCCGGCCCTCGGGTTGGAAGGCAGCTGAGGGCTCACACCGGAGTGTGCAGCACAGCTGTGAGAGCAGGGGTGCCCACGGCGTCCCGCTGTGAGGGAGGCAGCAGGCACTGTGCCCACCTCCCGTGTGCGCGAGATGCCCTGGGCCCATCGCCCCTGGGCAGGCATGAAGCATCAGCCAAGACCCAGCTGAGCGACCTTCTGCCAGCCACCAGCCACCGGCTGGTCCTCCCCACACTGACAAGGTCGCCAGGACCAAGGAGTCCGAGTATTGCAGCCAGTCGAGGGAGACGCGAAGAGCCAGGTATCATGTGATGTGACACCCTGCGCTGGAACAGAAAAAGCCACTGGCCAGACCTTAAGAGGAGCCTAAGGAAGGGCGAGCCTCGGTTAACACCACTTACCAGCATCATGCCAGTGCAGAAGCGTGCAGCCGGGTATGCAGTACATGCAGGCTGCCCGCAATCTAAACCTTCTGTCATCTGCAAGCACACCCAGAAAGGCTCATCTGGGACACAAAAGGCCCGCCACAGAAGCCCGCACTCCAGGCAACAATTCCCATGCTGTCAGCTTGCTTTCCAGAATCAGGAAACACCACCCAGTGTCCTCCTCTGCCCAAGGAGAGCCAAGAGCCAGCGCATTTTGTTTGCTAGAGGGGTGATTTAAACAGCAGTATTGATGCATAGGAAAAAGAACTGATCAGTTAGATTTCATTTAAATTTTAAATGCTAAGGGCCTGTGAGATAGCTCAAGGGACTAAGCACCTGCTTAGGCAAGTGCAGGGACCAGAGTTCAAACCCCAGCACCACATGCCACCTCTCGGCGCACCTAGCTGGCCACCAAGACCGGGTGTGGTGGCACACAGCTGTAATCCCAGTGATGGGGAGGCTGAGATAGGAGGATCACTAGAGTCCAAGAGCTGCATAGTGAGACCTTGCACAAAATAAATAAATAAATAATTTTTTAAAAAAAAAAAAAAAGGACTGGGGATGTATGTAGCTCAGTGCGGAGGCCCTGGATTCCCCAGTAACAAGAAAGATGGATGGAAGGAAGGAAGGAAGGAAGGAAGGAAGGAAGGAAGGAAGGGGAAGGGGAGGGAAGGGAAGGGAAGGGAAGGGAAGGGAAGGAGGGAGGAAGAGAAGAGAAAAGAGAAGAGAAGGAAGAGGAGGAGGAAATAAAAAGCCAAGCTACAGATTAGGAGAAAATATTTGCAGAACACATCTGTAAAGGACTACATCCAAAACACACAAAGGGTAATAAGTTCAACAATAAGAGAATAACTCACTTGAGTGAAAGATCTGACCAGCCACCTCGCCAGAGTGACACAAATGGCAAATAGCTGTAGAAGACGCACCGCACCCTCTCACTGGGGCACGGCTGCTAATTAAGACAACACGCAGCACTGCATATGTGAGAACCGCTGCGGTCCAGAGCGGTGGCCGTGCGGAGTGCTGTGAGGGCGAGGAGCCGCGGGCCCCAGCCACGCTGCTGGGATGGAGAGGACACGGCCGTAGCACCGGGCAGTGTGACAGATCCTCACGGCACTAACCACAGCCTCACCTCACGGCCTAGCAGTCACACGCTGAGATACAAACGAGTTGAAAACTTGCATTCACACAAAAACCAGGACACAAATACCTACAGCAGCTTCATTTATAATTGCCCCAAACTGGAAGCCACCATGATGTCCTCCAAAAATGAGTGGACAAGTGACCGACTGTGGTATATCCATTCAATGGAACATTATGTAGCAATTACAAGTGAGCTATTGAGCCATGAAGAGGCATGAAGAAATCTTAGAAACACATTGCTCAGCGAAAGAAGCCTGCCTGAGAAGGCTGCGCGTACCTGATTCTAATCACAGGACCTTTGGGGAGAGGTAAAATTACAGACTCAGTGTAAACATCGGTGGTAAGCGCACATTTCTAAGGAAGAAAGAATGAGCCCCAGGGGCACTGGAACTTTTTTTTTTTTTTGTCAGTCTTGGGGAACCAAGGGCCTTTACTCTGAATTACATTGCTAGCCCTTTATTTTTTACTTGGAGACAAGTTCTAAGCCACTAAGTTCTCCACCCTGGGCCTGCATTGGCTGTCCTGCCTCAGCCTCCTTGAGTTCTGAGACCACAGACTTGTGCCGTGGCCCCAGCAAGTGAAACCATGCCATTAAGGCACTGTGCTGGTGGACCCGTGATGTTAGGCGTTGTCCCAGCCCCCGGGCCCACAGCACCAGGGTGAAGCCCTGTGTACACAGCTCAGTGGCCTGGGATGCAGCACTCTTGGTCCTGCGCTTTTGTCACTTGACCTCAGTGATGCGGCTATTACACGTAGGGAAAATGGGGGGGTTAGAACTCTGTACTGTCTGCCCAATTTTCTGTGAACCTACAAGTAAGCTAATTAATTAAAAACTAGGAAGGTGGTGTAACTAGGCAGCCATGCGCTCCGTGGCAACAGGGACATCCAGCCAGAGTGCCCGGCACCTGGCCCGCTCTGTGCAGCTTCTTGTGCACCCGCCAGCCCTGCACTGAGAGCCCGGGTGGCTCAGGGCACCCAACCCACCAAGAGGACGGAGCTGCCCTGGCCATACCCACCAACCCCATAGACCAGCGCTGCCTGGCCGGGCTCTGGGACCCGCGCTCTTCCAGCCTCATCCTAGTGGTTCGCACAGCTCCTGCTGCGCGGAAGTTCCTGCCCCGCAGGAAGAAAGCAGCCCAGCTCTGCTTCTGCTGAGGGGCCCACAGAGCCCTGCCTTGGGAGGCAGGAGGAGAGCCTGTCACCAGCTGGCGCCGGGCATCTCAGCTCTGTGGACATTCCACGATGGCAGGCCAGCGGCTGGTGCTCCTAGATCGTCCAAGGCCACTGCACCGGGATCGCTCGCAGCCCCACACCCACCGCTCACAGCGGGCCCTGTGGGCCTGAGCCAGTGTGCAGCATCAGTGCTGTCACTGTCCCCACCTTGCAGATGAGAAAACTCAGGTGCAGGGAGCTCAAGTCACTCCCCAGGGTGTGACTTCCAGGGTGCGGCCAGGCTGGGTCCCGGTCTGATCCCCACTCTCACTGCCAGCGGCAGTGTATACAGTGTATGCTGCATCCACGGCTGCCCGCAGGGACACGGGTGCAGGGTGCATCATCCGCGTCTGCGACCGCATCTCACCCGAGGCTTTCCTCACAGCCTTCCAGATGCTGGGCTTCCTGCGCCAGCCTCCGCCCTCTTCGTGTCCCCGCAGCCTGACCGTCCCAGGGGCCAGGGTCACCGCGGAGTCTGCTGTGCCACCTTACAGGCCTGGACAGCTGGACTGTGGGGTGTGGGGCTCCCCACGCATGCTCAGCCCCTCCAGTAAGGAAACTGAGAAGGGAGGAGACTTTACAGTGTCGCTAATAACTTGAAGAGCTCAGGAGCCCGGGCACCACTCCCTAGGCCCTCTTCCTTCCCCGCTGTCCCTCCCAGCCGCTCCTGCTCCCCTCCTCCGCCCGTCTCCCACGTGTCCTCCCACAGTGCCGCTGCGCTCACCTCTGTCCCCTTCACCTCCACGCCCACACAGCCATCCCCATCCCTCTCCCGTGAGCCAGGGTGGCCCTGCGGCCCCAGCCTAGCTGCCACGTGGAAAGGTCGGAGGACGAGCCCGAGGCCCAGTGGTCCAGGCTCTCCTGGGAACCCACGGCCGGCCTCCTGCCGCTCCCCAGGGCACCTGGCCAAGGGCAGGGCCACCGCCCAGAGTGCCCTCATGGAGCCTGAATTGCAAGGCTTCCCCACAGCGTGGGCCAGGGTCCTTCAGCTCAGCTATAAGACGCACAGGGTGCCCCCGGCACCACCTCTTGTGACAGGCGACTGGGCAGGGCCACTCTGGAGCCCAGTGGCAACCCCAAAGCTCCAGGCTGCTGGCTCCCGACCCGGGCTCAGCCAGATCCTCAGTGGCACTGCAGAGGCCCTCAGCAGGGGTCGCTCATCCTGCTGGCTGATGGCGCCCTCTCCAGAAGGGCATCAGTGCGAATGACACACAGTGTCACACAGGGTAAAGGCCACGGGCAGCCTGTCCCCAGGGTGCCAGGACTCCGCTACCCCACACGAGACTATTCGGGACGCTCAGGGCAAGCTGGGCATCTGCATCCTCCTTGTGGCAGCCGCACCTTATGCCCCTACCGGCTTCTAATCCTCCAGAATATGAAATGGTGTCCTGTAGGGAACCCTGAGTTCTTGGCCACTGGTGTGCCAACAACTTGGTCCTGCAGACCTGCCGCGCATCCCCAGCTGACCTTGACCCTCCCAGCTGTAACCATGGCACCTGCAGGACGGAAACCCTTCCTCCCTTCTCCAGCCGGGAGCCAGCAGGAAGCCTGAGGATGGGCACTGTTCTCTGAAGAAAAGCGGGCAGAGCCTGCCCCCGCGTGGCGGCCTCTGGTCCTACAGCAGCCCTCTCAGACCAAGCGAGGGGAGGGGCCTCCCTTTGCAAGGGCTGGGGCCTGCTAGATGAGAGATGGGGCTTCCAGTTTTCTCTCCTATTTGCTTGGCCCACAGCCCCGAGCCCTGCGTGGCCGAGATGGAAGGGGGCAGAAGGCTGGAGCTGGGCCAGCGACAGCTTTCACATGGGGACACAGGTTGTCACCTATGGAGCAGACTGGCAAAACCTGCTCACCTGCCTCTCACGGGAACCTCCTCCCAGCCTGGCGTGGGTGTGCCGAGCTGTGAAAGGACCTCTGCCGGTGGTCTTCTAGGCTTGACCTTGTCCCTGCACAGGACCATCCCAGAGCGAGGGCAGCAGCGCAGCTCAGAGCAGACACCGTGTCCTCTGAGACCCACCGGCCACGGAAGTGCAGCTCAGCCTCCCCTGCTGCTGGTCGCAACCCGCTTGGCACGCAGAGCTGAGGCTGCCAAGCAGTGGGCCGCTGGGAGCACGCCTGGGCCACCTGGGTGCTGGGTGAATGAGGGTCCTGCTCTGGGGGTCTCAGAGCTGCGCCCCACTTCTGCCTGAGCCGATTCTCACCCATCACGCCGCGCTGCGGGCAGGACGGCATCCTCATCCCACGCGCGGAGGACCTCACGGGTGTGCGGACGGCGCTGTGGAACAATGTGATCACCGCCGCTCGCTTTTCAGCTTGCGCAGCCAACACCTCACACCTCCGTGAAGGTTGGCGTGTAAACAGCGCAAGAGGGACGCTCACTCCCCGCTCTGCACACCCACTGTTGTCACAGAGCTCGACCCCAGCGGCTCGTTCATTTTCATCAAATTTCTTTTCCCTAGCTCTCGAGGCTGGCGGTCTGGAAGAGGAGCCAGCAGGCTCTAGATCCAATGAAAATCCTCCTTTTCTCCCCGCATCTCACCAAATGGAATAGGCAGGGGACTCTGCCATTGTAGGATCACTGGGGCCCTTCCCAAGGGCTTTGTCCCCAGGGCCTAATCACCCCCAGATGCTCCTCCTGACTGGGTTCCTAGGGAGGTTCCCTGCCTGAGTTTAGATACTTCCCTTCTGCTGTGTCCAGGCAGGCAGGCAGGTAGGCAGGCAGGCAGGCAGGCAACTCTGGTTTCTCTTCCTCTTACAAGGGCACTAACAGCATCATGAGGGCCCCACCCTGAAAGCCCTCCTCAACCCCAACCACCTTCCCAAAGCCCTGCTTCTAAATACTGTTAAACAGGGTCTCAGGACTTCAACATGTGAATTTTGCCTAAATATAAAGGCTGAATTTCTCTGCCTCAAACCTCTGAATGCCTGGTGCTGATCTCCATTGTTTTTGCAGTGACGTGAACAGCAGGGACATCCCGCCCACACCTTGCCCCAGCCCAGCTGGCCAGGAGCCGCTCAGCCCCGGTGCCCAGCCGGAAAGCAGGTCTGTGTCTTCTCTGCCAGCTGCAGGCAGCGACAGTCTCTGCCTCAGCAGAGGGATCCTGGAGTCACCCTTCTGCTCTTCCACCCCCCCGAGGCGCCTGTCCAGTCCCTACACAGGCAGAGCCCAAGGCCAGCCTCACTCTGGTCCCCAGGGAACTCCTGGCATCTCCCACATTTCAACCTGCCAACCAGAGGGCTGGGGGAACTTTGCCCCAAACCTTGGGTTGCAGAAAAGCTTCACAGGGAGCCTTGAGAAGAGCCAGCCTGGGGCAGGCCACCGGCCCCTCTGCAGACACTGCACCCCGGAGCTGGCCTAGCAGGGCCAAGCAGAGTTGCTCCGGCCTCTTGCAAGTGCACTATTTGTGCCCTGGAGCCACTGGGCAGGCCAGGAATCTGTGGCACTGAGCTACCCACCCTGAGCACAGCCAGTGCCCAGCAAAGCCCCAGAAAGAAGGGAAGAAGGAAAGGGAAGTGCACTTGAGCTTCTGAGGTGCAGCAGGCCTCTGCCATTGGCTGCTGTGAGGTGAGGGTGTGAGGCCGGAGGGCCACCAAAACCAGCCAGCGACCTGCTCAGCCGGGTGCTTGGACCTTCCCTCCCTACAGGAGCTTGCTCTGAGCCTCAGGCGACACTTCTGCCTTTGAATCTCCCTGGGAGCTGCAAAGGAGGCTGGGAGGCGTGGGGTTTTTAGTTGTGGCCACTTAGCTAAAATGGTTCTTCTAAGGAGAGACAGGGAAGCAGCTATCTCTGTCTTGGGGGCAGTTAGCTCAGCCCTGATGGGGGAGGCATCCATTCTGGGGAGGCATGGTAAAAAAAAAATCACATGTAAGCTGGGGGTAGAAAAAAATGGGTAAAATAAGGGTGATTTGGGCAAGAGCAGGAGTGGCAGGAGAGAGCAGTCCAGAGGGAAGACGGGACAGCAAAGGACCTAAGGTTGTGGATAGTCAAGGACTCGAAAGGGCAAGGGACAGAGCACACAGGACCTGGGAGGTCTGGGGACAGGGTTTACATTTAAGAGCGATGCAAGCAGCAGGGCATGGTGGTGCCCATCTGTAATCCCAGCACTCCGGAGGCTGAGGCAGGAGGGTCACTGTGAGTTCAAGGCCAGCATCAGCTACATAGCAAGGCCCTGTCTCAAAAAAAAAAAAAAAAAAAAAAAAAAAAAAAAGACGGTTAAAGGCAGGCGTGCCAGGACCCAGCCTGCGAGATGAAAGGGTTGGGGTGGCTGTGACATAGGTGGGCGGGCAGGAGGAGAAGCCCCGCTGGGTGGTTCCAGGCTTCCTGCTAAGGTGGTGGCATCCTGGGGAAGGGCTCCCGGGCACAAGTGTGGTGAGGTGTGGCCTGCGCTTGTCCCCAGCACTCCTGAGCGGCCCTTGTCAGTCCCTCTCACTGGAGACAGCCAGACGGACTCTGACATCCTGGCATTCATCAGGGCCCGGCAGAGCCTCCTGCAGAAGAAAGGTAAGTGCAGCTCCCACAGCCGTGCCACGGCCCAGGCTTCTGCTTAGCTCGCTGGGGACGGAGCCACAGCCACCCGGCGGCCACAGAGACAGACTGCAGTGACCCAGGGGCGGGGTCAGAGCTCGGAGGCTGCTTGGTGTGTTGGTGGTCCAGCTGCACTTGGCCGAGCGCTATCCCCCTGCTGGACTCCTGCTTCTCTTGTCCTCTGTCCCTGAAGGCCTGGTCCAAGCTACTGCATGATGGCTAGAGGAGCTGGTGGCAGAGAAGGCAGCCTCCACACTGGGCCCTGAGACACTTCGTGTCCCATTCCGGGAGCACAGTGACCAAAATCCCAATAGATGGAGAGAGCCCGAGAAGGAACCAGACGTGGCCCCTTGAAGCGCAGTCTTGAACGAGGACCTGTGTCCTGCGGTCCCCGAGCCGTGCCGAGGGGCCGGGACCTGTAGGGCTGGACAAGCGTGGTATGGAGTCGGTTCAGCTCCAGCCTCCTCTCTAGCAGCTGCTGCTGCCCTGGCCCAAGTGGGAGACATCAGACCTCAGCTGTGCGGCTGGCAAAGTCACCCTATTGGTCTGGCAAAGTCACACCGCAGGTCAACTAGAACGCAAGGACCCTGGTTCTCCATCCAGAGACCCCTCCTCCCAGCCCAGCCCTGGGGGTGGCGCGTGGGTAGCGCGTGGTCTGAAGGCGCCACCCACAAATGTAATTGAACTGCAGCACACTGCAAAGAGGCTTCAGGGCTCATGGGGCACCTGTGCCACCCTGAGCTGCTGCCATCCACAGTCCCCGCCCAGAGGGAGAAGACTTGCAAAGAGCCTGGGGGTGCACGGAGCTCCTGGGGGACAGGACACAGACCAGGGCGTGGCCAGTGGCTCCTCTCCTCCCTCACATCCTGGGTTCAGTACCCACAGCCTAACTCCACACCCATCTCCTTTTAGGCCTCGGGAGCAACTGACTCCCGTGGGAGTTGTCCTTGGCCCCTGAAGGCATGACAAGCCCTGGATGCAGGCCCCATCCCTCCCTCAAGACGCAGGCGCAACCCGGGGACACTGTGAGCAGCTGTGGACTTGAATCCAGCGGAGGAGGCTGAGAGGCCAGAGGCCGCAATCCATCTTCCTGTGCCTGCAGAGCTGGGGCAGTGGGAGGGCTTCAGCTCACTGTGGGGTGCTGGTTCATGAAGGCACAGAACGATCAGCTAGAGAACGTGATGCCGGGGGATAATCTGGGATCTTCAGCCACTCACCCCACGACCACCCCAGCACCCACTGGGGAGGAACCCAGGAGTGGCTGCACTAGGCTTCAGAGCCCAGCCAGATGTGGGGCATTGTGGAGCCAAGCCAAGCCTACTCTCCCAGCCCAAGCTCCCCCACCTCCTGCTAGCCCTGGACGGCCAGCTGTGTCCCAGGAGCCAGGCACCCTCCAGTCCCAGGGTACCGCAGCAGGACAGAACAGTAGGCAGCTCCCAAGCGCTCTGCAGAAAGGGGCAGCGTGGTACCTTTGGCTTCAGCTTCTGCCCAACCCCTCGGGCCTCTGCAGGATGGGGTCCAGGGATCCCCAACTCCCCACCCACACAAGGAAACACCACTGTTCATGGTGCAAATCACAGAGCCTCCCAGCCCTCAGGCACCAACTCGGGGACTCGGGGCCAGAGGGTGGGCACTGGGCCTCCAGGAGGCCTTGAACAATGCTGCGGGTATCAGATCCCCTCTGGCCATCGGGGTGGGCATGGAAGGTGGAGAGCGGTGGCCCTGCACAAAGGGGCAGCTGAATAAAAGCACCTGTGCAGAGCTCCTGATGTCAGTGCCAAACAGCACCTGGCGGCCCCAGAGGCAGAGCAGAGACAGCGTCGGAGAGTGCGGTTTGTCCCTTCTCAGGACTGAGTGAAAATGTCGTGCAGGAAGAGCTCCTTAATCTGCACCCCAATATATGTAACAAGCGAGCCAGAACAAATGGGCCGTTTCTAGCTGGTTGTGGCCATGTGCCCTCCCCAGGGGCTGCTCCCAGCCACTCAGCTACAGTACCCCCAGCCCCTCTCCATCCGTTCCTTTTATTTTCACCTTCTCTCTCCACCTGTCATCTCCTCTTCCTGCAGCTCTTGTAAGCCAGCCATTCCCCACCCCCCAAGACTGAAAGCACATGACGACAGGACCTGCTTGTCTTGGTCACTGCTGTGTCCCCAGCACAGAGCCTACCCTGAATAAATCATCCCTCCATTCAGAAGCTGTAGAGCCAGGGCCAGAGCTGCTTCCAGGCTGGGGTCACTGCCTGAATCCCCTGGGCACAGAGACGGCCATGGGGGGAGGGGTCTTGCAACTCACAGTCTATGCACACAGTAGGTCCTCAGGCGAATGTGTGGGCAGGTATAACAGCCCCCACAGTCATTGCTGGCAGCTCCCCAAATGCACACACACGTGTACACACACACTTGGGTCCTGACAGTGCTATAGAACCTTCCAGAGTCCCTTGTGATACGGTTCTCTGTCCCTGGCACACGCCAGTGCCCTTGGCCCTCGGGAGCTGGCCCCGTCCAGTGACCGTGGATCCCCCACCTAGATGTTACCTCCTGGGTCCAGGCCCCATTGACAGATGTGTGGTGTGGCCCCATGTAGCACAGAGCCAGCCTCCTGGGGTAGTCATGAAGACAGGAGGGGAGG